GCAACTAAACTTAAAGAAAAGAAGGTTGTTACGATATACAGCCGAAATCGGTGAGAAAATAAAATGGTGTCTTCTTAAGGATTGTTTTTATAGCGAAATAAAGAAATAACAAACTCTGATAAACATAAGGCACAGCAATTACATGAGGACAAGATCGACAACCAATTGAATAAACATGTTGTATATCGATAAGATGATAAGCTTCACAGCGCAATGTTATCGAAGTATCGATAACCTTAACGATGATATCCCATGCTATCGATATCACTCCCGATGATATTTCATGCTATCGGAAAGGATATCGATAACTGAAACAAAAAGGAATTAAGTTAAATGCTTTATATTTTATAGATCTGACAAACATGTTTCTGTTCTATCTGGCATATCAGAAGCTAATGCCAAACTATATGACAACTAAACTAACTAAGAAGGGGAAAAACAAAGCCCAAAAGAAAGTTGTTTTTTATTGGGTAACACGCGTTTCGGTTCTTATGTGGACAATCCACATGAAGAGCTGCGAGCTGGCGCGACAAATATACGAATTGCGAAAGCCAAAAGACAAATTCAAATTGCAATTCGCCAAATTTGCGAAAAATTCAATTACCAGTCGAGTTTTGTTTTTGTTTTTTTGTTTACGGATAACTGGCGATTGGCCTTATAAGCATGCGATTGCGATTGGCGATTGGGGATTGGGGTCTGGTGCATCCTATGCACAATTTGGATTTTTAATTAAATTCACTTTCAAAAATACCGCTAATCATTTAAAGAGTCGAAAATTTGAATTTGCGGGGCCGGAGAAAGAGTCGAACAAAGCGAAATACATGCAAATCAATAATAATATGCGCAAATTTGCATATTTTTAGTTTGAATCTCTCAATGGGGGGGCGTGGCACACGCAACCATTGATCGCCGCGATCAATCAATGTTTATATACTTACATACTATTCACCCATTCATTCACTCATTCAGCTGATCGATCTGGCCAAATTTACGCAACCCCAGCGAAAATATCAAAATATCAAAAGACGAATAGTTACCACCCAATTCCAAGACCCCGGGGCGCATTGCTTTGCTACAATTTCCAATCAAAAGTTGCACAAATACCCAAAAGAAGAAATAACCAAGCTATCAAACTGTTATTAGTCGCCCCATCAATACCACTAATTAGCCAAAATTTCAGACGGGCAAATGTCTGTGTGTGTGTGTGTGTGTGTGTTAATATCACGTAGCGTATTGAAACAAATCTGCGAATTATGCAAGAGCTAAGACAAGTCCAACAAAATCGACTTCTGAATCAATCAATCTTGTTATTTATGCAGAACATTTCCGGTTTTACGGGAAACAATTGAAAATGGATAAAAAAACATATTTACATATATATATTCCAGATCAGCATCGTCCACAGTGCTTATCATATTTGCCTCGATTTTATTTTCAAAAGATCGATAAATATCGTTTTTAAATCCTTATTTTTTCCAAGCATGAACATTAAGACATAAATTTGTAAATGTTTATGTACGTGAAACGTGTTCTTCTTCTTCTTTTTCGATTTTAGTTTCAACATATCGATAAATATCGATATATGCCATATGCAGAACGTGTTTAACATGTTCTGTTCGATGCCATTTTTAATAATCGAAAAATATCGATTTTAAGACTTTGGTTTATTATATCCTACGACGAGCGTGCTTCGTGTTTCGATTTCATTTTGAAAATATCGATAAATATCGATTTTGAGTGATTGCTTTTTGAGTTTAACTCTAAAATTATAGGAGCTGCAGCAGATGAAGATGAGATAATTTCAATTTTTTGATACCTCCCCCCAATTGCCTTTAAAATGGGAAAACTCATTATTCTCAAAGGTAGAGCTTTTGACATTAAAACCCTAAACAATTTTATAAAGATTGGATAAAGGCAGCTAGAATGCTCTTAAAGACAGCTGAACGCTAGGTCAGGGTATCTCCGGGTCGAGCACGCCCAACTGAATTCATTTTTGCCTAACCGAACCGAAAGGCGAGTCTGTATTTTGCTGTTAGGGCATTTAGAATTCGTTGCGTTCACAATTAAGCATATATAGCTTTCCTTTGCCGTCCGTATTAAGTTTTGCTTGTTTTTAATGCGCCAAAGTGGCGAGCTGTGAGTTAAGTAAAGTGGGTAAAGCTAAAGCTTAATTAAGACCACGTCGTCGTCGTCGTCGTCGCCGTTGTCGAATCGTTGAATTGCCCGAGAGGTTACATAAATGGCAAATAGCGAAAAATAAAACCAGAAAAGAGTATAAAAACCGAAACCGAAACGCGATTGCATATGCGATTGTTTTTCTTTTATTTTCTTTAATTTAATTTTGTTTCTCTTGGCTAAGTCGCACAAAAAAAAAAGGTTTTCAATAAAATTGTACGAATTGTGTATTTGGCGAGAAAGTTGCGCTTAAGATTCAGAAGTCTTAATCGCTTAAAGAAACCCTGGGACTTCTGTGGCATAAGAAAGAGGTATAAAATATAAGAACCAAGTCACAAGACATCATATTGAAATAAAATATACTACAGGCGTATTAGAGACAGATGTATTAACGTATGCGTTCGAAGGGAGAAGGCAAGAAAATATAATGAGGCATGTTTAATATTTGGGATAAGCTAAAAAGGCATAAAATATAGAGAATGGGACATAAAGTCAAGCAAAGTCCTTTAAGCTAAAAGGCACGATGGCAAACGGCAAAAAGGTATAAAGTATAATATAGATAAGCTTTAAAAAAATTGCAAAATAGATTATCTATACGTTAGGTATAAAATCTTAGGCATAAAAGTCGAGATAGATAATGTATGAATTAGGCATACGACGGCAGAGATTATCAAATTAATAGAGCTTAATCTAATCTAATATGATCAAGTAATAATTAAACTTGATTATAAGGTACGGTTAGCCGAAGAGGCGCCATCATGGTGTTCACTGTGGTCGTCATGCCCAATGCCCACGAATTGGATTCTGCGACAACAGCAAGGTCAGCGGCATGATTGAATTCGCATGCTTCGTGCCGCTTGCAACAGCTTATGCAACGGCAATGGCTACGGCAATGGCAACGGCAATTTGATAAATAGATAAGCGATAAGTTTTATGGTTGGAATAGCCTTCGGTTAATTCGGGATTTGCCATTGCCCGGCCAGACAACATTTGGCCGCAGCCAGACCAGACCAGACCAGACCAGTTGCGGTTGCATTAATCTTCGCCTGCCACAAAGCTGTTGCAGCTCATGAAGTTCACAGTTCAATTGAGCTTACCGCTAATTAGCTGCGGTAAGTGTTTGCCGGCCGAGGGGGGGCGGGGAGCACGCTGAGATGAGCTTAGGTGCTGGCAGGTATATCCCAGGTGTGACCATTGGCCATTGTTGTTGCCGCTGGCAATGCGATTAAGATGGGCGCCCAGCAGCAATGCATATATATATATATACGTTTTTATACCCTGCAGTCAGAAGGGCATGCTAATTGGCTGCACTTACTCCCTCATATTGTATATATAGTTGTTGCCTGTGCTTCTTCTCATAACTTCATGCCTTCGATAAATATCGCTTTATGAAACTTGTTTCTTCAAGTATAGTGTCTAAGTGTCTAGGGCATCTTCAAGTCGTGCACACCCGACTCGCGCTGTCTTGTATTATAGTTGTTGCTTTTGCAGAGGCTTTTAAGTAACCGACCGCCGCGAGTCACTTTTATGTTTTATTTATTGATTTTATTTGTATAATTTGTTGTTGTTGTTGCTGCTGCCCCTGCTGCTGCTGCTTCTGCTGCCCCTGCCCCTGCTGCTTCTGCTGCTGCTGCTGCTGCTGCTGCTATTGTGGTTTTGTGTCCCATAATTATGTCAGCTGCAGTTCCATAGTCATAAATTTGCGCAGCTCGTTTCAGTGTACATTCATTCATTTCCACCGGCAAAGCGAGGGCAGCGGGGGCTGCGGCTGCAACATCATGCTGCTTGTTGCATGTGGCAAGCAGCAGCAGCAGCAGCAGCGGGGAGCAGCGGGAAGCAGCAGCGACTTGTGACAATCCATTAAGAGCAAATATGCATTTGGAATGCAGATTTAATGGGAAATGCACATATTGAAATTTATGATACCAGTTGTGTACGCTGTGTGTGTGTGTGTGTGTGTGTGTGTGTGTGTGTGTATGTTGTTTTTTTCTTATATCTTAATCAGATTCCTGAACGTGCACTTCATTTGTAACGTTCGGTTTTAATGCCGGCATGTTCCGGTTTTCACTTTCAGCAAGAATTCTATTCGCCTTGTTTCGCTCGTTCGCTCAATTCATTCATTTATTCACGTTTTCGCTGCCGTCTGCTAAATATGCTTTCAATTATCGTCATTTGTTATTTATTTTAATATCGTTTTTCTTATCAATTTCGGTCGTTAATATAAGTTATAAGCGAATAATGGATTGGAACACTCGCTAACCAGCGATTATTATTTTGTTCTAAGAGGTCTTCCATACATTTCTGCTTTATCCGAATACAATTTCGATTTTTACCTATTTCCTGCAAATATATAACGGGAATGCTGGAATAGAATGCTCATGACTTGTCACTTTGGTCTTTTTGTCCTGGCTTCCAATACTGCTTATACTTCTGTATGATATTCGATATGTACTGATTCCTTAGTTGCTCGCAATTGGAATGTTGGAATGAAACACATGTTCATATTTTTGGCTGAAAAATAAGAAGTTTTTCTTTAATGAAAAGTTTGTTTCAATTCAACTGTTTTCCCAGAAAAAAAACCCAAACAATGGCACGCTGAAAAGAAACCATTCGCTACATTCTTAAATCATAATTATTTTAAATTAAATCTTAAATAAAGTAAGACTTCTTTGAGTTCTTTATATATGCGTTAACGCTTTGCACTATAACCTACAAAAAGATTTGCTGAGGCAACGCGGAAATGAAACACTAACTAGCTAGAATATATATTGCTTAGAATTGTAAAAAAAAATTTTAACAACATTTTATCTTAACTATCTTTGCAGAAATTACACAGATATAACGAGTGAAAGCTATAATAAAGAGCAGGGAGAAAGGGAGAGAGAGGAGGGTAGAAAAAGAGAGAGAGAGAGAGCTAGTAACTGTACTCTCTCCACTAAACGAACGATACAATGCAAGGCTCTCTGGTGTTAGCCGAACCCTAAGCGAAGAGCGTGTGAAATCCATGCACGATAACTAGTTAAATTTAATAGCTTCCCCCTCCTCAAGCCATTACGATTAACGCCACAGAGCAGCGATAAATTTCGAATAGAACGAGTTTACAATCAAGCGATAAACTTAAACGACAGATCTTTGGGCGCCATGGCAATGCTCGAGGCGCGGCCTTATAGGCCATTCAAGTCCAGTGAAGAGTATCTGGAGGCCATGAAGGAGGATCTCGCTGAATGGCTAAGCACACTCTATCCGGAGCTGAGCATCAATGCAGAGAACTTTATGGATCGTCTGGATACGGGCGTTGCGCTCTGCAAGGTAAGTTTTAAATTTAACAAGCGCTTTAACATGCACTTTAACTTTTATATGAGCCTCGAATGCTCTTAGTTTCAATTCACAATTGCAATTGTTGGGCAACAAGAATATTAACTAAATTAATAGAGTTGCCATCATTCTGAATAATTTTGACATTTACCTGAGATTTTGACTGAACAAAAGCCAAAAAGCCATTGCATATTGAATTGCTTGCCAGCTAACATGAAATTTAACAGACAGATGAGAAAACTAGCATGCGAGCATTTGATTAGCCCCCCTCTCCATAGGGTGTACGCGAGTGGTAAGCAATCTTTTTATGGGCGGCAGCTGTTTTGACTGTTCGACTGACGCATAAATAAAGCCAAATGTGAAAAAAGCTCTGGCACACATTTCAGGCAGATGATGCAGAGTTTGGTTTTGGACTGCAGCTCCCAGGTCCCAGTCTGGGCTCGTAAAACTAAATTCACACATGCCTCTGATTAGTGGGCGCAGCAGCTGCAACTGCATTTGCATCTGCATCTGCGACTATTGATGTTTGTTTGGTTAGGTGCTAAAGGCACTGACGCTGCACGGATGCATTTTGGCTGCTGCTTTTATGACCAGCCAGTCAGTCAGTCAGTCAATCAGCTAGGTGTTAAAAACGCTTGTGAGTCACAGACTTACAGGTGAATTTGGGCAGTAGCTTTTCTGAGCAGGCGGTAACTCAATCAGTCACTTAGCCAGTTAGTCGGGAAGTACGTCAGTCAATCAATCAGTCAATCAGTAAGGTGTTTAAGGCGCTACTGTTTCACGGACTCTCGGATGTATTTAAGCTACTTCCTTTCTGTCCAGACAGTCTGTCATTTAGTAAATCAGTCAGTCAATCAATCGGTCAGTCAATAAGTCAGGCAATAAGTCAGCCAGTATGGCAATCAATCAATCAGTCAATCTATTAGGTGTTAAAGGCGCTGATGAAGTACGGACGTTTCGGACGTTTGCCTTCTGTTAATCAGTCAATCAGTCAGTGAGTCAGCCAGTCAATCAGTTAAAGGCGCTGGTTATTCATGCATTTGTGCTGCTCCTTTTCTGGCCAGGCATTCGGCCAGGCAGCAAGTCAGTCAATCAGTCAATCAGTCAGTCAGTGGGCCGCTTTTAAAGGCTGTATTTATGGCATGATGCATGCATGCACCAGTGCACTACCGCGGCACGCTATCTACAGCCCATCCGGCTTTCAGCTCATTGTGGAGCATGTCTTGGTAGTGAGAGGAGAAGGAGCTCGGGTGGGATTAGTTGGCCCAGTGTTACATCCTGACAACCCCGACCAAAACACTTTCGTCATGCATTTGTCTTAGCCTCTGGTGGGCAGGTCAAAGCTCCTTACTAGCCCACACACCATTAGCTCCCAGCTGCAACTGGAACTTGAATGGGGTTACCTCCGTTCGTTGTGCCTGAATGTGGCACGGCCAAAGGCCCATCCACCTGGATATGCTTGCCGCTTGCCACAAATGCAAATGTGTTTTGTAAGCGCTTAAAATGTTGCACTCTCCGTTTCCAGCCTGTGAAGTGGCCATAGCCAAGTTTCTGTTACAGTTGCTCCACTTCGGCTTGTTTTAGAGGCTGGCCATTCAACCTCATCCTTAGCAGAAGCAACTGTATTTGCTTTTCCATTACCAAACCATTAACGAGCATCCACTACTTGAAATAATAAAAGCCGTCCTTTGAAGTCTTAAACTTTGACAGAGCTGAATGAACTAAACAGTTACCCTCAAATTTATCCTCAGGATAACTTCTACAGTGAGTCATCATTTATTTAGGCCAACAATACGTTCACTTAGTTGACTTGAAAATTAAAAATAAAGACGACATAAAGATGCCTTTAAGAATTATAAGATAGTTTGTCAAATTATATGACATGGATTAAGATAAATCTCGATTATAATGCTTAAAACTTTGTTTGTTTTCTCTCAAATATAAAATGATAACAGTTGCTGCTTAAGTTCATGTTAAATGTCTACTTGTAAATATACGATATTGATGGGTTTCAATTTTAATATTTGATCTATTAAATGCCTAAGATCCAATGTCCAAATCAAAAAAAAAAAAATGCCTAGAAAATGATAAAAAAAAAATTCTGCTGGTAAAGTTCATGTTAAATAACTGCCAGCACATTTAGCTCTGTTAGGCTTTGTCTAAGCTGCAGAGTGTCAAACAAAAAATGTATATTTTTTGTATAACTTTTTCTTACAAATATAAGTATATATGGCTTTGCATTTGATTCTCTGTAATGTCGGCCTGAGAATTATCTAACTATGCCAGATTTTAGAGATTGGTTTAATTTGTAGAAATTGCTGTATATTTTAAACAATTGTTGTGCAATTCCTTGGTAATGGGGGGAAGCACTTCAGATCTGGCTTGGCCTGCCCTCTCCCACTCTCTCTCTCTCTCTCTCCTCCCATTTTCTGTCTGCCTCTCTTGCCTATATCTTCTTGACTGCAGCAAATTCCATTATGCCACTTTTAATTACCGATGCGTTGCCGTTGCCTGTTTTGGTTTTGGTTTCGGTTTCGGTTACGTGGCGCATGCCATAAACCTCTGCCCATTGCGACTGTGTGTGTGTGTGCCTGTGTGTGTGTGTGTGCGGTTTGTGCCATTGCCATGCTTGTTGTGATTATGGGCGCTGAGTGGCGCTGCCCGCGGCTACTGGCGCCAGCGTCTGTGCAGCACCGACAACGTCACGCTGGAGGCCAATAGCCAAGACCTCAACGCGTAGACAATTTGTCTTGACTGGGTTGTCGTCGTTGTTGCTGTTGTTGTTGTTGTTGCTGTTGTTGCTGTTGTTCTTGTTATTGTTGCTGTTGCCTGTCGGACCAACTGAATGCAGCACAAAGCTGCGCTAAGGCTAAATATTCCTGCGGCAGAGCGACTCGTATCGGGAACGTTGCATCTTGTGGGCTCTCCCGCTGTGTGCGACTGTTGCGGCTGTTGCATTGTTGCCGGCTATTCCTGTAGGTAACAAGTGAGTGTGCTCTAGTCATGTGTGATCGACCGGCAGATACCCTGTAAGCAGCACGCACATCTGAGTATCCTCTGCTTGTCCGGCCCCACCATAAGAACGATTCTTCTAGTTCGAAATTCAACACATGTTTATCGTGTGTTGGATTTGTCGATTCTTATCGATTAAACGCTATTTATCGATAAAGGCACCATTTTGGGATATAACGGTAATTTGATAGCAAAGCTGTTTAATAGAAGCTTTATAGTAAAATTTCGTTGTGTTGTATTCACTATCCGATAATATTACATCGATATCTATCGGATAGCTATTAATCGATTTGTTTGGCGCGTTGCATTTAACTTGTGAAAAGAAAACAAATAGAATATTAATATCTATCGATTTAGGTGTAATTTTAAAGTTTTTATCAATTGTTGAGTATAAAAAAAATTGTTTAATGGTACAAAATATGGCGTCTGAAGCAATAATAAGCTTTGGGATACGCCCCAATAACCTTGTTTTAAACCCGATATTTATCGATAGATCAAAATATAACTTGTTTGTTCAGCGTATGATACATATATGTATATCCATTTTTAGGCACAGGGTATCAACACACACACACACAGAAGCACACACAGCTAGAACTCTACAAATATTTTCACCTAGAGCCTGGTCAGAAATGTGCTTGTTTTTTTTTTTTTGGTTCTGCTCCCCTTTTTGTTGCTTTTTGGGATTATATCAGCTGCATATGGTGATGGATATGCGCGAAGCATATAATCATAAAGTCGCTTTGATCTTCGGACGGGTCTGTCTTTAAATACACAAAATGAACTAAACTGAACTGAACTGAACTGAACTGAACTGCATGGCATAACTATATATTTATTTATCCAGTCAGAGGCGTAGCATTTCGATTTTGCATCCCGGGCGGGGTTGGCCGGAGTGTGGGACTGCTGCCGGAAATGTCATAAGCATAAATTTAATTTTTGATAATTGTGTGTGTCGCGAAGCGTTAATGGAACTTTAATTGAAACTCACGAAGCGGCGTGGCAGTTGCAGCAGCAGCAGCAGCAGCAGCAGCAACAGACGCAGATACATTTGTATCTTTGTATCTTATGGATGCGCGCTTTAGTTGAATGAAAAAAAAAATAAGGCAACGGGCATGTCTTCATCGCAAACAACCAAGGCGTGCGCGTGTGTATTAATTATGCTCCTATATATGTATATATAAACATATATTTATGCATTATATATATATATATTTATTTATCTGTATCTGCCACTCTTCGGGTGTTCTGTACATTGCCAATTAGCGTACTCAGGTCGTTAGCGGCAATCATTAGCGAATTGTCTAACGATCCACGTGCAAAAGATACATAGATACATTTGTATCTGGCTAATTAATGACCAGATATTATTATGTGCCACAGCTGTGCTGCAATTAACGCACTAACTAACTACACAAACTCGCAGATACAAATCTATCTAGCCACAAAGATCACAGCGATTATCATCCACGGTGCTGAGAAATTCCTCAAAATGCGGAAGATTAAATACGCTCGCAGACCTTTTTCAACTATAATTATTATGTCATACAGCAAGCAAAACTTCATAAGTTTTGTTCTTAAGATATACATCTAATAATATACTGCTAAATATACTAATAATAATATGCTCAGCTTAGCCCGGGTCAAGTTTTTTCCTACAAATTTTAAACATTACTTTTGCGCTCAATTTCCGTTACCATCGAATATTTGCATAGAAATTTCAGAATTAGATATTTTTACCCAATAGGACTGGATTTTGCGAAACGAAATGACAAAGTCTTTGAAAATAGTTTTAAATCCGATCGCATGGTAAATAAAACGGTTTCTTTAAAGCGTTTTCCGCTTATATTTCACACTTGCTGGTGGAACCTTCAAAATCAAATTCCATGTTATTTTGAATATATATTTAAAAACCTACGGGTAAATTCGGCAACTGCCACCCGCTCCGTGCTCGCACAGAAAGGATGGATTCGGCTTTAAATGAGTTTTTACAAAGATGAGTTTAAAGTCAATCGGAGTAGGAAAAACTAGCACACGAGCAATCCATCAATTTTCCACACTTGCAGGTGAAATTTCCAGAAATCCTGTGTTAACCGGCACCTAGTTAACAAAAGGTGAACCTACTGCAAGAGCTTGAGCCTTTCACTCAACAATTAGTCAAATCGAACTGCAAGTGTATCTTAAGTTCGTTTTGGCAGAATATGTATTTATTTTTTCTTTAGTGTTTTTTTTTTTTTTTTAAGTGCCATAGTTTATCTTCCATTTAATTGTTTATTTTTGTTTTGGGGCCTGCTGTCAACGATTTCTCGAGTCAACTAATTGAATTTGATAAAGCCGACGAGTGCTTTTAATTGGCCAAACACTCGCACTGCCAATTATCGCCGATAGGAGCCTATGCACCCGCCCCTGCCCCAGCCCCAGCCCCATACCTGTCCCAACCTCTTTTCGATCGGTACGTACTGAATGCATTGCTTACCCAGCTCCAATTTGCCTAAAAAAGCTACTGCCCGGGGCTCAATTAAATGGTCGTTGTGATTATGGCAAGTGCCCCGCCAGAAACGAATACGCACACAAATCTATAGTATGGGGAAGCAGGGAAAATGTATTCAAGAAAAATCAAGAAATTGTCTTCCAATTATGCTTAAGTGTGTCCAAATCTTTTAATGAATTGCCATTGAAGAAAAAAAAAAACAACGGTATTTTCCACGAATTGCCGTTGTGCGTGAGCGATAGTCGCCGCTTATCGATAACGTTCAATCAGCCTTATGGCTGACGTTTTACAACACTGCACAATATATTTAGTTCATGTTTGGCCAAGACACAGTGCAAGATTTGTATAATAAACCAAAAAATTGCCGCTGTAACATAAATAAAAATAAAAACAAATAGCATTTCGACATTGATATTAACTGAGAATTCTTCTTTATCAGTCGCAGCTGGTTCGTGACTCGCTGGGCCCCAAAACACTTCGTGAGCCCATTCAATTTTATAGTCAAACTTGGGTCGTTGCCTCCTCAATTGAGGCCCGCTGCCGCCTGCTCATTTATTGGCTACCTCCATGCATACCAAGTGGCAAAAAGTTATTGGGAAATTTTGCAGATACATACATAAATGCCGCTGAGCGTCGACACGGACGTGGCACAATGCAATTCCAGTTGATCGTTGATCCTAACCATACGTATGCATACGTATGGATATGATCCCACCTTAGCTTACAACATGCAAATAATAGATTTACAACATGGTTAAAGTTGCCTTTTTATCAGTTTTCGAAGATACTCAGATCACAAATCAAATCCATAAAGGGGTTTTGGCAAGTTCCACTCGCATGTGAGAATACTTTCACGCTTTTCGCAATATCCACGTGGAAAACCGACATCCAAAACTTGGATGTTCGAATTCTTGGGTTCTAATTCTTGGGTCAGGAATGATTTTATAATGAAGTATGCATGAAGTCGACGCTTATTTGTATTTCTCAGTACCATAGCTTAAATAATTTACTAAAACAACTTTTAAAATGACATATAATAATATGTAGCCCATAAATTATGTCATATTTATATTATGCTATTTGCTTGCCAAGCTAGGAATTTGAAGGACATGTTTAGCTGAATGTTTGTTGACTTGTACATTCCGAATGTTGATTTATTCAATTTGATATATCTTGCGATCAGCTTGTAACTACAATTCGCAGTTTTGTTAAATCTATCAAGATATGCGCTTAGTTATGTTCATAATTTTTTCACTGCTGGCACTCCTTTTCCTACCGTCGGACACATATGGGTCAGTCTTGCCTTATGACAACTGTCAGCCCGCAATGTTGATTTAGTTATTGCCAAAAGCAAATCGAAATGAATCAAATTCATTAGTGCCAATTTATTGTTTGGCATTTTCGGCCAAGAGATCAAATATCTATCTGCATCTGTGGGCTCCAATCTGCAAGTGTGTGTCCAGTTGACCAACTGTTGGCCACTTGGCCACGGGCCTGCAGCTGAGCTCCATTTGGGTCCGTTGGTCAGCTAGGGGCAACGGGCAGGGAAGCAGGCGTCGGCCGAGGCGTGCCTAATCCGATTTTGACTTTATTAACGGTGCAATTTGTACGACACTGTGCCGCAGCAGCAACAGCAACAACAACAATAACAACAGACGCCAGTTATTTTTTATGGCTATGCCACCCTATAAATATGCTTGCCCAGGCGAGTACACAAGCTTTTGAATACACTGAAAATAGGGTAAAAGCATCCTTGTGTATGTGTTATTAAATTAATTAATGCTCGACAATTTCTTAGTCACCTTAGTTTCCCCACCATGAATACAGTTAGCAGTTTGTTTAGTTTTGCGTTTTATCCGCCTGGCAAAGTGCTTTGCAAACACATCTCTGCTTCGTTTTGTAGCGCACTATGTAATACCCGGAATACATAAGAAACCGATTAGCTTAATATATTATTCCAATCAAGCTGATTGTAGACACACTTTATACATTCCTTCTGTTAACTATTGCTGCAGTTTATTTAGCTTTGCGATTTATTCGACTGACAAAGTGCATTGCATTGCCATTGCTTATGAACCTAGAGGAAAGTAACTGATTAGTTTGATATATTGATTTAATCTAGCTGATACCTGATACTTGATACTTAGTTTATGCATTCCTTTTGTTAGCTCACCCATCCTTTGGTGCAGTTTGTTCAGCTCAGCGATTAATCCGCCTGGCAAAGTGCATTGCAATGCAATTTTATTATTTATTGCTGTCAATGCAACAATAACAACAACAGCAACAAAAACAACTTGCCTCGCAAATTGTATGCTAATCGCTCGACCCAGAGCAGCGGGCGGCCCAACTCGATTGGCCAGTTGGCAGTTGTTGCGGCGCAGCTGGCCGTGTGTCCAGAGAGCGCCAGATCTGTGCATGGCAAGGCACTGAGCTCGGTGGCCTGGTGGCCCGGTGCCAGGTCGGTTACTTTATGATTGTTTTCCGTTGTCTGATTTATGGAGTGTTGCTGACTAATTTGAACTCTGGCGTGTTAAAGTTCTTGTAAGTGGCCGCCACTGTGCGCGCCACAATTGAAAATTCGCCTTTGTTCAGCGCTGGCCATTGTTATTGAACTGGCCGCGTTTTGCGGCATGTGCCACAGCTAAGATCAAGATCGTTTCAGGCAAGTTGTCAATATCTATGCATATGCACATGCATGTTTATAAATACTTTTAACCCCCCAACCCCTAGACGCACACAAATGTCTCCATTAACGGTCATTCGTCTTAGGGATTGCGCTCTCTATATTTGTCGCAAGTCCAAAATAGAAACCACATGGGCTGCGCAGGCCGAGGGCCGGGTGCTAGGGTGGGCAAAGGTTAAAGAGCATTTGCTGCTGCTACCAATTGCTTCTTTTAAAAGGGGTCCAATGCGTTTTTGCATGTGCATGTTATGAGCAGAGGGCGGCGTCTCCGACTCCTTTAAGTATGTTTATCAAGTCCGCCTATTTCTGCTTCTCTCTCGGTTGCTACAAGAGATAAAGACTTGAAATTGGCATTATGTATAACGCATATTGGTAAGCCCTCACATTTCTTATTATGATGATAATTGGTATGCCTCGAAAACTTCATAAAGATCGGACCATAAGCACCGAGGTAGTGTGAGGCTAAGCGAGGCAGAAGCTCGGCAATGGTTGCTGGGTATCTGCCAGTCGGGCACTCCCAACAGCTTACTTGTTATTGCTGCCACTGCTCATGCGTCACGTTGCAGTTGCAGTTGCAGTTGTCGTGCCGTCTCAATGGCGACAATCATGTGGCGGCCGCCCCACAAAAAAGGAAGTCCAAATCGTTGCGAGTCGCCTACGAAACGCGCCAATTGTTGTTGCCGATGATTCATTTTTTTTATATTTATTTTGTGTTTTTGTTTTGTTTTTTTTTTTTTTTTTTTAGGCCAATTAACGTGCAAGTGCAAGCCAAGTTTTGCGTCTATTATGTGACAATTATGCTTCTTTAGCCTTATTTGCAAATTTAATCACACAATGCGCAGCGCAGCGCGCTTTGTTTTGGTTTTCATGATTGCGCTCAGCAGGGGGTCACATTGTTGCCAGTGTGTGCACGCTTTGCGACAGTTACATGCCAATTTGAGTCGGCTCTTTGTGTGCGTGCGTGCGTGTGCGTGTAATTCCGGCAAATTACGCTAGACAGGGTCACAGTAGTTGTAATGCCGGCCAGTGTGTGCACACATTAAGCAGCTTTCACTAGCAAAAAAATGCATGCAATTTATGTACAAGGCGGGTGTTTGTATTGTTGCTATGTGTGCGTAGCTGTAAGTGTGTGTGTGTGTGTGTGTGTGAGCGATGAGTATGCACAGTTTTTGCCTTTGAAATTCCGCAAATAGCCTTTCCAACCGACTCCGCAACAGGCCCGACTTCAAAGCAAGGCCGGCGCACATTTCCCACGCATTTGGATGCGTCTCGTTGATGGACTGCCGCCGTTTTGGACTGCGATTGCGACGCCTGCACGTAGCCGGGCGATGTCACCAACTTAAAGCGAAAAAAACAAAAAAAAAAAAAAAAAAAACAACATTGAAAACGCGTCCAAGTCCAAAGCGGCGACCTTTTGTGTGTAGCTGGGGCCAATATCAGTCACAATAAACAACAGTTTTGCATGGCATAAATATTGTGAATTGAAAAGCCAAATATGAAAAGCGCGCACTGTTTAATCTAAGCCAGCGCGAATTTGTATATGTGTGTGTGTGTGTGTGTGTGTGTGGGTTGCAATTGTCGTGTCAACGTTTACAAAAGAGTTCGCGTCACGTTTGTTTAATAAAATTAATATTTACATATGCTCGTATTTACCTGGCATTCATTGAAATGCTTTTGCGCTCTGTGCCCAAAACTGGACAAATAGCCAAATAGACATGGCCTGGCAATTGGCACGACTCTCTGCCCTCAACCCACCCCACGCCATCCCTCCCCCGCACAGAGATTGCCAGATCGCACAAAGATTATATGCCAGACGCACATTTAGCTGTCGCCAGTGTTTACCTATTTGGGAGCGTTTTGTCATATTTCTGCTAAAGTTGCCAATTATTTTAACATACTGTTTAAGTTAATTGCATTTGCTCAAATTGTTGCTTATTAGTCAGTCGGGCTGTCATAATTTACCAGGAAGTATATCATCCAACTGGTAAATGCATGTTTAGTGTGTATATGCCCACAAATATAGCAGTACACAGATGATTAAAAAAATATATTTAGCACAAATCTAACAGCAGGCCAGCTAACATGCACTTTACCAGGCACATGCTAAAACCTGCTGCTAATATGTTAATTTGTAACAGGAAGCATGCAGCAAATCAAGTTAATTGTCAACGGAATTGGAGCTACCGTTCATGGTTTATAGACCAGACCGTTTGTTAGCGTTTATGGTCTCATCCGTTTCATGCCATTTCGTTTCGTTCCCAAGGCGCGCATTCTTGTTTCGTTTTCGTTTTCGGTTTATTTGCTGTTTGTTAGTTTTGGGCATTTGCGGCCACATTTGTAACTGTCTCGAGGGGGGAGGCGAGTCGTTCGGTGCGCGCTCTCACTGCCGCGGCCCATAGTCTGTCCATCTAATTTTGGGCCGAGTCTAAATTCAAGTTTATAACTAAATATGCGCCAGGCAGGTCCATTGGACGGCATTGATGGAGGGCGGGGTAGGGTGTCGCTCTGGAAGCCAACCGACACGGGCCGATTGGCCTCGATTGCGTTTACGTTTGCGTTTGCCACATTTTTTAACAACTTCACCCACATTCAAAATTCGTTTTGGCTTTTCAGAAAGAAGAGGAAAAAAAAAAACGAAAAACAAAAAACCAGTTCAGTTTGGTTTAGTTTAGTTTTGTTTTGGCAGCGGCTTTGTCTTGTTAACCATGTGTATAGCAAAGTATAGCATAGTATATATAGTATATATAATATAGATAGATCTATTTGGCCAAGTTGCCAGCGAGCTGCTTAAAGTTACGTCTATCCAGAAGCTACAAGCTATTAAGTTATATGTTATATGTTCTGCACAAGCCAATTATTCAAATTTGAACGACATTGGCAAGAATGTCTAGCTATGGATTAAATACCTGGACACATGGCTTAAGGCTTAACAAATATTTCACGATAATTTCAGAAGAAAATGGAAAACTTGCCCATACAATAACTCACTTTTCCAACGATTCTTTCAGTGGCGTTCAGCGAAATATTGATCGGACAGCGAAATATTGATCAAGAATATATGTAGTTTATATTTATTGACAAATTCATGCTTAATCTAAGAAAACACACACAAAATTTCATAGATTTAATGCTCTATTTGAGTACTTTCCATTCTTCCGGAGTTCCGGCTGTTCTTTTTTCTTCTGCCTCAGTTCCTTGAAATATGACTTTCACTTTACGAACTCACAAACATTTCTACTGCATAATAAATTCTTAACGATCTGCTCCTACTTCCCCCTTCGAATGCTGCAGACATTCGTTGAATCGTTGTAATTCCTGATCTGTGACAAATTGTGTCTTAGATCTTTGATCTGGCTGTGGCTCTGGCTGCAGTCAGTTCCCACAAGCTGCCACCTCGTATCAATTACCAATTGCATATCTGCAGTTATATTAGCTATGCCCACACACACACACACATACATATATATATATATATATATGTGTGTGTAGACTATCGATCAGTGATCTCATCTCATCGATCTTTTGGCCATGGTCGTTTCCCACACCTGAGCGAGCCGAGCGGACGGACGACAGACGGACAGACGGACGGGGCCAACAAACTTTTGGCAAACAAAACGCCTTCTATGGCATTATGGAAATACCGTTAACGTTTGGCCGAATAAAAAAAAAAAAAAAAAAACAAAAAGAGGAGATGAAAGGAACGAGAGAAGAAAAAGAAAAAAAAACAGCCCAATCAAATTCATAAGTTTCTATGGCCAAGATCAAAAGCGGGGCCCCCGAGCAGGTGACCGACGTAACCAATACACAGATCTTTAGCAGCAACTGTTGCTGCTGCTGTTGTTGTTGCTGCTGCTGCTGCTGTTGTTGTTGTTGTTGCAACAATCATTTGGCAGCGATCTATCATTGCCAACTGGCCAAAAGAGAGACACAGCTAGTTAGCTACGAGGAAGTTGTTGTCCATGAGAACCTTGAACTCCCAAGAAAGAAATCGTAAAAGAGCGCTCGCCAATGTCCGAACAGAAGATACCCTAAGCCAAGCTGCCAGCATTAAATAATTTTACTTTTAAATATAAGTTTGTTTCCATTTAATGCCGAATCGGGAGAAGGTATCCAAAAAGTGAAATATTCTTAAGCTGTACGCGAGAATCTACAAGACAAATTTGGTCCATCTTCGATATTTATCGATAACATTGACTTTGAGGAAGATATCGATAACAAGCTCTCTCTCTCTCTCTCTCTCTCTCTTTGCATAAGGCAATTTTTTTTAGCTTTGTTTTCAAGACATGATCAAGAATATATATGCTTTATGTGCTTGAATTGGCTTGGCTGACATCCGCCTCTCCCCCTCCCCACAAACAGTTTCAATGAATTACAGGGTATCTTAAACAGACAATAACAAATAAACACAGTTGTTGTTGTTGTTGCTGTTGCTGTCGACACGGCCTTTGAAATATGATTTTGAATGGAACAGCGTGGACAGTTTTTTTCTTTTCTTAATTTTGTGATTTTGATTGAGTTGAAAACAGCAAAAAGAAAAAAAAACAAAAGCCAAAAAAAAAAAAAACGAGACAAACCTCGTGCCTTGCTGGCCGTGCTGGGTGTTAGAGCTGCGGCCAATGGCGGCTATCTGAATAAAATCGGTGGCAAGTCCACTTCACTCCATTAGACTCAGCTCTTTGAGCCGCCGCCCTCCCCCCTCTCCCGCTGCGCCGCCCATTCCACAGCCGCCCTGCCTGCCGACCAGCTCAAAGACAGCCAACACAATGCGAAAAAAGTTTTTTTTTTTTTTTTGACAGCAAATCCGCTTAGGCGTCGGCCAAGTCAGCGGCCCACACGCACACACACACACACATGTGATTAGTATGTGTGTGGGTGTGTGTAGTCGCTTATGCCTTGCAGCCGCATGTGGCATGTGCAGGGTATGCTGATACCCTACACAAGGGCTATACTTTGATCTTGTCAACAAACATGTAACGCTCTTTAACAAGAAGCCAAGTTTATTCATCTGGCTGAAAGCTCTTGCTATATGTATATATATCTGAATAAATATGTGTATATCAGTCAGCTAGATCGGGACAGCATGGTATATAGCTGTCAATCGGAAGAATTGCCTTCAAGTTGGGTGTTTGCTTAAGCACAATTCTATGTTGTTCCTCAACATTTGCACTAAGTATTCTCTAGATTGTGACAGTATATATTATAGTCACCACAATATATTGAAAAAAGTTGGATTCTTTAATCTATATAATCTCAATTACGAGTTTGGGTATATTTTAAAGCATTCACAGTGTTAACTTTTTGGAACAATTGGTCCAATTAGTAAGGCCTGTTTGTAGAAATACAAAACACATGTGCCTATTTTATATTGTTTACTCTCGTAAGATCTTGTGTACCATATATACACACACTATACTATATATACATGCTGTACTGTATATATATATATCTATATCTATGTGTTGTTGCATAGTTAAAGTCCTTCGTGCTTGGAGCCTAGGGTATCTCTGCTGCGTTTTTTTATATATTTAATATAAATCTCATTGTTTGTATATCTTTTTTTTTTGTTTTGCTGCTGCTGTTTGTGTTTTTTTTTTTTGCAGTTTGCAATGTCATTTTGTATTTCTTTTTTTGCAGTTCGCTTTAATTTTGTTTGATTTAATTTTGGGTTTTTTTCGCGGAAGCAAAAAGCTGTTACGGGCATTACGGCTACAAATACCTATTCATATATACAATTTATATATATTATATATATACATTTTCGCTTATGCGCCAGACTTTGCTTTGCAATCGCCTTTTACCTAATGTTATTAACGTCATATTGACACACATTCGGCTCGGGCAGAAGCAGAGAAATAAAGTGCAAAAATCTAAGCTAATTACGTGACAGATACCCACGCCCCCTCCCACCGGCCCGCAGTGTATGTGGCATATGCCACAAGCTGCTCGGCGCGTGTTGCAACATCTTTTGAGCTTCCATAACGGCTTTCGCTCTCTTTCATTTAGTTTTCTTTTTCTTTTATTTTTTTTTACCTGCGCACACACATCGGCCGCATGTCACGTACTTGCGCTTTGTTGCATGCAACTTGCAGCTGCAGCATCGACTTGGCCCACATTGCGTCCACTTGCGGCAGCTCAGCCAGTGTTGGCAAAGTCACGTTAATATGCACATCGACACCTGACACCCGCGCCCAACCCCGCCAACCCCCCACCAGCACACCCAGCCCACGGGGCCTCTGACCCATGCCAAGTGCCACGACTTTACTTCAACTTTAAACCAAGGCAAAAATAAAAATATTGCCAAGAAAAGCCAAAGCTGCATTTCGAGAACAAATT